GTACCACGATCATTTAGAAAAAAACATCATTAAGTTGTTTCCAAGATCCTATGACATTCCTAGCCATGAGTTTTTACCATGTTTCTGTTACCCAATATGAATTCTATCTAGTGGAATAGGCCTCAAATCCAATCAAAATAATGATTAGTTACCTCATAAACAATTTTGCCACTTTTGCACCAGTAAGCACATTTTTCCTGGCATGTTGGTGTTGTAGTATGCAAAGTTGAGTGACAGATTAGACCAGTGATGTCTTTTATCATGCAGTGGCTTGTATCAGCTCTAGTATTATAAAAATGAGGGGTCAAGGAAGATTCCCTGGACAGTCACTTCAAGATTTGTTCCTCTGTGGCACACAACCCAACTGTGTGGTGTCTTCAGCAATAGGGTGTTAAAAATATCTTTAAAAAAATTGACATAGAGGGAGAAAACACCAAAGCTAACCAAAGAAAATCTAGGCAAAAAGAATATCCTACCATACCTATTATTGTTGTACAAATTATTGTACAAGACCATAGTGACAATTTCAACATTGTGCTAACACAAAAAAACAAAACATAGCTCAAATCCTGCATTGATACCATCCTATATAAAACTACAAATACCTGATCATTAAAAAATAATAAAAATATAATTGGGGAAAATACATAATCATCAACAGATGTTATCAGAAACCTGGATTTCAATGTTCAGGAAAATTGACAGCAGTAGGTGAAATCAATAATGCTATTTGTCAGCTGGATTGGACATGGTATCAGCTAAGATTGACACTCCATCTCAGAACACATTTGTGAGGCTATTTCCCTGACAATAATAAAAGATACAGATGAATGGGGTAAAAGGCATGCTTCTTCTGAGTGTCACCTTCATTCTTTGCTGTTGAGTACATCAACCCCATTTCTGCGACTGCTGTTTCCATCCTGTGATGACACTAGAATCCAGTCTCTTTGGCATTTCAATAGGAAGAAGACCTGTGTCTATCTGGAAATTCTCTAGGCCACCGGTACCTGGATGATTCTTCAAAGGAGAGTATTCCATGCAACCTGTGGACTGGGCAACTGTTGGGTTTTTTTGTTTTGTTTTTGTTTTTCGAGACAGGGTTTCTCTGTGTAGCTTTGGAGCCTATCCTGGCACTCGCTCTGGAGACCAGGCTGGCCTTGAACTCACAGAAATCCTCCTGCCTCTGCCTCTCGAGTGCTGAGATTAAAGGCGTGTGCCACCAATGCCTGGTGCAACTGTTGGTTTTAACCCTCTCTGTGATGCAGACAGCCATTGCATCAATCTAATAATTCTCTTTGTAAAATAAAAAAAGACATCAAAGAAAGTAGACCCTTACTTCTAACCTTGAATATATCACAATTCCAAATAGATCAAAAATCCAAACATAGATTTGATCCTCTGACACAACTGGAGAAAAAAGTAGGAAGGCTATTTAAATGTTTTTGTCTTCCAAAACTTATTTTTAACTTATTTTATATTTTTGGTTGTGAGCCTAGCCTTTAACGGCTGAGCCATCCCTCCAGCCTATCCTTATTGTAAAAAGTGACTTGCATGTAACATAATTTTCATGCCTATAATAAATTCTATTTGTATAGTGAATATATAAATTATTATTTATGCATTTACCTCAAGTTAAAGATATTCAGTCGATTTATGCTGGCACATACTTCTTGGTTTTTATTTGAACAGTTGCAGCAAGAAAAAAAAATACACAGGAATCATCACATCTTAAAACCTTGGGTTTTGGTAAATGTAGAGTCTGTACTAATTAATAATCAATAGATTCATATTCTATGTTTTACATAATTGGAGTATCATCCCTTACGGAACACAAAATATCTGGTATACAAAAGAAAGACAAAAAACCGAATGGATAAGAAGGACGCTGCCCAGTCTGTTATAAACACTAAATTCATTTCCCAACCCTATGGATTCTTGAATGTCTCCTATGTGTAGAAACTGGGAAAGTAAGGGGCTCCACAGATCTGACTGGAGATCTCAGCCTCTGTAGAGATGTTACACAGATCTTTCCTGAGTAATTGCTTTCTTTGAAAGTTGTTGTGGAGGAAAAAGTGGATGTTTTCCACAAAATTGGGTTGGAGTCTGTATTTTCTCCAGTTTCTTATCCTAAGAGGCACTACCCTCTTTGGTGCCATGTAGTTTCTCCATGTGTACATGCTAATCTAGAATGAACCATTTCTCTAGTAACTTCATTTGTCTGTGATATCAAAAAAGCTACTGAATTGAATCTCTTCCTCCTCTTCTAGAAAGGATAAATCGGGAGAACAAGAGACCTACAAAGACTTACTTAAAAACCAAATGATATTTGATATACAAGAGGTTTGTGTTTTTAACTGAATGGCCAAATTTGTAACATTTATTGGTGAGTGGTTGGCCAGTGAGTGTATTCAGAGATGAGCCATTCATTTAGTGCTCCATTTGTTCTGATCCAAGCACAAACTCAGATATACAAACATCTTTTGTGTGTATCTGATTGTTACTGTAATGAATTAACCATATCCAGTAGTTACAAATCATTTTTTATTTACATTTGCATGTCACAATCGAAAATGAATCTTACTAGGCTGAAATCTTGGTGCTTGTAGAGCTAGTTATTTCTTAGAGAGAAAAAGTTACTTTCCATTCTTCATTAGGTATGAGAAGCTATGGGCTTACCATGTCTTCTAAGTCACACACTAACCTTGCTTTCATTGTTCCAACTCTTCCTGTTTGTTTTAATCTCTTGCCTGTAATGAGTCTTGTGAGACTATATCAAAACCATTAACACAATCAGGAGAATTTATCATCTCAATGTCTTTAACATAAACCTCTCTCTATAAATAAGTTAACACTCAAATTTCAAATGTTAGAACACAGACATTTGCGGGGGGACATGGGGGAATCAAGACTCAGCTTCTTCCATTGGACTATTGAAAATTTATATGTGTTTATTATGGGGGAATTTAAATTAGTCCACCATTATAGTTTAGTTTTAAAAGGTTTATAGTAATTCAGCTGACAGAAATGACTTGTTCAAACCAATAACATCATCCTGGATTATTCTCCTCATATCCAATAGACACTAAATCAGCTGTTTCTTTCCTAAATAATTAATTAATTCTCTTCTGACTTTAATAAAATATATTATTCTATCTCTGCGCAGGCAAAAAGTTCTTAAGAACTTTTTAATAATGTCCTTGTCTTCACATTTTCCCTTTCCTCATTATTTAATGTATTTGATACATTCCATTGTATTACAATACTTTCTCTAAAACACGATCTGGTCATCTCACCCTTAGAAAAACTTAAAGCTCTGAAGTTAAATAGTACAGTACTTCTCTGTTTATAGGAAGAAAGCTAAATGCCTGAAATGGGTTAGCAAGGCACAGCCTGGACTCCATAGGCTGTAATAGTGCTCACTGGAGTGATGTGCTGTGATTAAGCTCTTGGACTGAATGGTTCACAATGCAGAAAGCACACTTCCCCTCACTCACTATTGAATTTTCAGTGCCTAGCACAGCTTGTGACCAAGCATGCCCGATTTGTTGGATAAAGGATTAAACGGGTATTTTAGAATCGGGTCTTTCTCTTTCAATAGTCTCCCTTTTCATCTAAACAGACACACATAAGCACATGCAGACATTCAAAAACTCATATGTTGAACTGATTGCTGTTTAGCAACTGGTTTTTCATGCTCTTGTATATCGCTGCTTTTAGATAATTCCATAATAGCTGCTCATGGTCTTCTGTCTTGCTGAGTGAATGAGCAATAATTGAATCTATAGACAGTGAATTAAATGTTCCTAGTCTACACTGTGTTCTAGTGTGTGTGTGGGGGGACATGTTTAACAAATATCTAAGAAAACAATCAGAGAGCTGTGATAATTTATGGAGAATTGCATGCCAGGCTTTCAAACTTGTAATCGACTTTCACTTAAACACACACACACACACACACACACACACACACACAGAGAGAGAGAGAGAGAGAGAGAGAGAGAGAGAGAGAGAGAGAGAGGAGAGAGTCCTTTGAAGGAAGAAATTCACTGTAGACAAAAAATTCTGTAATTTATAAGTCCTTGGTGACTAAGCTGGTACTCCCCCACACACACACACACACACACAGAGAGAGAGAGAGAGAGAGAGAGAGAGAGAGAGAGAGAGAGAGAGTACTTTGAAGCAAGAAATTCACTGTAGATAAATAATTCTGTAATTTATAAGCCTTTGGTGACTAAGCTGGTATTTTTTCTATGGAGTTTATAGAGTGTCAATGCAGAGGTCTAGGAGAATGCTTTGAAGAGTATCTGTCCCCAGTACCATGGTTTTCCTTGATAGAGTTGATTACCAGCAATTGCAGGCTGAGGTTATCACTGTGACATGACAGGTCTCTGCTCAAAAAGCCAACCTCCTTTCCTGGTGCTTCACATCAATCCCCATCCACCAGTGCAGGCTTTCCCTCCTCTGCCTTTCTCCTTAATCTCTAGAGGAATAGTGTCTCTAACTTTGCTTGTTTACCTTTTGCAAGCACCTGTAACTGCAGCAGGTCCATCCAGATGAATATCCACTAATCCCCTGGTTTTACTATCACCTGATTTATAAGCCGTGTCACCCATCAGCAAAATCTCTACAAAATGGTAGCTTGATTAATTAGACTTTGACAAGGAGAATGCAACCTATGGACAGGGGAATGTAACACCACAGTACTGCTAAAGAGGAGGACATTTCATGACAGAAATAAAATAAATGGCACCAAGAATGATTTGAAAAAGTGAGAATACTATCTACAAATAACCACAGGGTAATCAAACTACAGAGTGACAAAACAAAAACATGTGTATATATTCTAGGGAATTTTTAAATATTCATTCTATAGTTTTGCTTCTCATTTCTGTTGGGGATTAATAGCAAAGTGGTTTAAATTTAAATCATCTCAGAGGCACACCAGCATGCTAATCAAGGTAAAAGTGTTTCTACACTGTTCCTGGTCTGCAAGATCGAGCATGAAAGGAATTCTGTGGGGAGCGTTTTGTGGGAAAGCTAATGAGGTAAGAAGCAAGCGACTGCATGACCAAGGCCCCCAGGAATCACATAGTTTGACTGACAGCCTAGTCATGGAAAATGATTCAGGAACAGGAACCATGTTTTCTTTGATAATTTAATAATTTCATTACTTCCAACTGAAATATCAAAGCTGTATTGATTACTTAACATGTTTTGTTTTCATATTTTTTCTCAGAAGTGTATCATACAGGTGTGATAGGGGAGGTCCTTCTGTATATATGTTTGTCTTATTGGTTTATAAATAAAGCACTGTTGGCCAATAGGGAATCAAGTTAGGCGGGACTAGGGGAGAAGGAGGATTCTGGGAAATGTAGGAAAGAAGACAGTCACCATTTGATCCCAGGAAGAGAGGATGAATAAGGCCGGTGTCCGCAGTAAAATAAGTCCTTATAAAAATATATAGATTAGTAGTTATGGTTAATAATTAAGACTGAGCTAGCAAATAAAAAATCCTAGTCATTGGCCAGCAGCCTTGTAACTAATATAAGACTCTCTGTGTTATTTGGGGGCCTTAAAGTGGCAGCAGAACCCAGACAACTGGCAGAAAGAGTTATCATTATCATTACACAGTGGTTT